ATACCCCGCTTGATGTGTCCCGAAGGAGCCTCAAAGCGGATATGTATCTATTATTATTATTATTATTATTATTATTATTATTATTATTGATTTATTTGATAGGATTGATGGCTGATATGATCCCATCGTGATAGTAGATACTGATATGATTGGCGATTGATTACTACTGTAGCTTATCGCGCTTCTATAATGTGCTCACAAACCAGAAACGCCAGCACATCACAGTATCCATGTAGACGCAGCGCAGACGCATATGTCTGAGAAATCAGGGGCAGTATGCATCTACAAGCCTATTACTTACGTCCATTACGCCCGTCCTTGCTCTGATTCAGTATGTATTTGATGTATGTGGCATTTCATAGCGTTGATTATCGCAGGCGGCTCGCAGTGCATCTGGTGATAACCCTGTTGCTTCCTCCATTTCTTCTGGCGAATGTCCGACACGTGACTGCTGCTAAAGAGAGAAAAGATAATTAAATTATTATCATAATTAATAATATATATTTGGAATTACACTATAGACACTTTATTTAAGCACCCATGAGTTACCTTGGGAGATCGATGAGAATGGTAAGTGTTATATGATATTATCTACACCTGATGAATCAAGAATTGAATACTAGATGAATCTAACGTAACGAATAGTGAATAATAAGCTAGATCTAAACCATATCCGCTTTTATGTTCTGCTGCCTCAGGCACACATCTAACTGCGCGGCTCGGCTGCAAGCGGTATAGTGCTCGGATATAGTATTATGTTAAATTATATTATGTATTGATTATTATATGTTAATTGCAATATAATAATTACACACACTGATAATATCTTCAGCGACGGTGGGCATAACTTGCATCAAGTTATTAATAATGAATATCATGAATAATATATTAGAGATGATAAACGACTATATCGCCGCTTTGATGCGTTCCCGAAGGAGCCTCAAAGCGGATATGTATCTATTATTATTATTATTATTATTATTATTATTATTATTATTATTATATTGATTTATACCCTGCTTGATCTCTCCCAAAGGAACCTCAAAGTGTCTGTGTATCTATTATTATATTATTTTTATATTTATTTATACGGCATCACGGATGACATTCTCCAGGAAGACCTTGAGGACGCCCCGGGTTTCCTCATAGATGAGCCCCGAAATACGCTTGACGCCTCCACGACGAGCCAGGCGGCGAATGGCGGGCTTGGTGATGCCCTGGATGTTGTCCCGAAGGCTCAATTCAGAGTGCTGGCGTTGGCCTTTAAAGCCCTAAACGGTTCTGGCCCAACTTATCTATCCGAACGTATCTCAGCCTATCAGCCCACCAGGACCCTAAGATCTTCTGGAGAATCCCTGCTCTCTATCCCACCGGCTTCCCAAGTGCGGCTGGTGGGAACGAGAGACAGGGCCTTTTCTGTGGTGGCCCCTCGGCTTTGGAACACCCTCCCTTTAGAGGTACGATCAGCCTCTACGCTGATGGTGTTTCGGAAGAGACTGAAAACATGGTTGTTCAAACAAGCATTTGGCTAATACGTTGCAACCGAATGTTGATGACTAAAGGATTGACAATCACGGACGACGAATTTGGATTGGGATTTTAGTTACGAGATGCATCGGATTTTATTGGTGGCCCAATAATTTGTATTGTAATTGTGTTTCATGTTTTTAATATGGTATTGTTCTTAACTGTTGTAAACCGCAATGAGTCGCCGATTTCGGCTGAGATATTAGCGGTATACAAGTCTATAAATAAATAAATAAATAAATTTGAAGCAACTATGTATCTGTTGTTGTTGTTGTTGTTGTTGTCATATTGATTTATCTCCTGCTTGATCTCTCCTGAAGGAACCTCAAAGCACCTATGTATCTATTATTATAATATTATTATCATATTGATTTATACCCCGCTTGATGTCTCCCGAAGGAGCCTCAAAGCGGTTATGTATCTATATTATTATTATTATTATTATTATTATTATTATTATTATTATTTATACCCTGTTAGATCTCTCTCAAAGGAGATGTGAGGCATCTCATTTGAGAGAGATTTAGCAGGGTATAAATAATTATTATAATAATATTATAATAATAGACACACAGCTGCTTTGAGGCTCCTTCGGGGTATAAATCACTATAATAATATGTATCTATTATTATAATAATATTATTATGTATCTATTATTATACTATTAATATTATTATATTTATTTATACCCTGTTAGATCTCTCTCAAAGGAGATATGGAGCAACTATGTATCTATTATTATTATTATTATTATTATTATTATTATTATTATTTATACCCTGCTTGATCCCTCCTGAAGGAAGCTCGGAGAAGCTATGCATCCATTATTATTATATCGATTAATACCACACTTTCTTTCTCAAAGACAACTCCAAGCAATTATGTATCTTCTATTATTATTATTATTATTATTATTATTATTATTATTATTATTATTATATTGATTTATACCCCACTTTCTCCTGAAAGAGGC